GGCTGAAGGTTACTCCTGGGTGTACTAATGATCTGGCTCTTTTGTCCTGTCCTTCCTGCCAGGCATAGAATGTCCCCAGGCAGAAGGATGCAGGTACCTGAGGTAGGAAGCCTGGGACAGATTGGAGAACAATTCCCCAGCCACAGGGAAACTCAGGATTGGACCAAGGGCACATGGCCAGGGCGGCAAGAGTAACTGGTTAATGGTGGATGATTTCAGGCGTTGTCAGTGGGCTATGCTTCCTGCCATGTGGAGGAATCTGGTCTAGAGTGAAAGAGAAGGAAGCCGACTTGCAGAAAAAGAGGCAGAGACAGAGATGCTGACAGCAGTTGAAGCCCTGGTTCCAACTGTTTTGGAGGCCCTGACCAGAGCTTTCTCTATTTAGCCCTTTCTTGGCTTCAGTGAGTAATTAAAACCACCTTTATATGTTAACAAATTTGAGTGAGGTTCTTGTCATGTCACCCAGACAAACCTATTAAACTTATTAAGATATTCACATCAACATCCCTAGGATGAGATGCCAGTACTGTCACCCTAAATCTAAATGTGATCAAAATAGAGTAACAATCATGAAAACTTCAGCTCTACCGTCTATACTTCCCTCAGCAGCAGGGTTTTACTTTACTTATTCTTAAATTGAGACAGTTTTTAAATTGCCTCAAATATGTTCCTTATTTATCCACTGCTGCATAAATCTTTGCACAACCAATACTCATCAGACTTAGTAAAACATTCTCTATCTACCTTGAGGATAATTTTGTGGAAAAAGTATTATATGATTTTTATTCTTAGAAACGACTTTACATTTTTTGAAAGAAATGTGTTTGTTGGGTATAAATTTTACATCAGCTGAAAAAATGCCTGAGTTCACCTGACACTGGGGCAGCAGGTCCTCTGCAGGCCTACGGCACCCTCTCCCCAGGGAAGCACGCACACACACACACGCTTGGACACGCACACCTGGGCACACACACATGCACACATACCTCTGCATACACACGCACGTGCCTGCACACAGGGCAGGAACAGGAAAGAGGAACGCTGCATAGGACACACCCTGCGCTCCTGGGTGGAAGGACTGTGTTTTTAATGTTATTCTTCCTTCATATTCAACTCCTTCTGATGTGCTTCTAATCACTATCTTTTATCTTTGTAATAAATGTCTCTGAAAGTTGAAACTAGGTAATGGACTGTACTTAGTAGGTGAGTGTTCAGTGGATGGTATTTAATGTGTTGTCAATCTTTCTGTAAATATAAACTAATGTGCACATTAAAAATATTTACATATTATGGGCTGGCCCGTGGCTCACTTGGCAGAGCGTGGTGCTGACACCAAGTAAGGGGTTACGTTCCCCTTACCGGTCATCTTTAAAAAATAAAAAGTTTACATATCACCTAAAGGAGAATAAAAAGGTTTTGAAAGTCCCACCCAGCAAAGCTGGTCCACATTCATGTCTTGGTCACGTATCCTAGGCTGTCTCTCCCATTTGACTCCCTCTGTCCTGTGTCTGTCTGTCTCACTCTTTCAGCCAGTCATTTACGTACAGGTGTGTATGCGTGTTGACAACACATAGATGTTTTTCAACCTGAGACCCTCAGTACAGACTACAAACTGACATGTTTATGTAACAATTTCTGTGCAAGCTCAGCAGCCGCTCAATGTTCCCTGGCCCATGCGGACCAGGTTTGAACACCCAGCCCCTCTACAGGATGTTAGAGACAAGGCCAGCCCCTTGCTACCTCCACCACTGCGGTGATGAAAACACTTCAACAGAAACCTGGGCAGCTGCAGTTGTGGAATAACCTCCCTGGATTATCGCTGCTTGGCAAATAGACGTGCCTGAGCACGTTGTTAGGAGTTGCTGAGCTGTTCCTGAGATGGGGTATCCAAGTACATGTTTCCCAGGGCATCTGCTGCGACCTCTTCTTCCCACATTCTCACCAGAGCTGGTCATCACCAGAAACACAGACCTGCCCATNCTCCTGTGTCTTTGACCTGCTCCTTCTCTCCACTCCCCTAGGCCCTGCCTCTGAATACTTTGTCCCCTATTCTAGCCATAGCTACCATGCGATAGCTGCCATGTCCTACATGACATGGCTACAGCTGATTGGCTTAGGTAAGCACTTGACCCAAGATGGTCCAACCTAAGAATTTCTCCATGGTTTTTGCAGTGGGTCACAAAGGAAACCCAAAACCAGTTATTCTTTGGTGGTTGTCCTAGTGTGGATTTCCCCAAAAGCAGACTCTGAAACAAGGTAGTTTATTTGGGAGCTGATCCCAAGAGGCATGGTAAGAGAGTGTGGAAGTGAGACAGGGAAAAGAGGAAAGCAATAATAAAAAGTGTTCAGTCCAACCTTGTGAGGCCTGTAGAACAAAACTCACAATTATAGGCCTGAAGAATGAGGAAAGCGGGTATTTATGCACCAATTCCCATTCCTCTTTGGCTGAAGGTTACTCCTGGGTGTACTAATGATCTGACTCTTTTGTCCTGTCCTACCTGCCATCCCAGCACACTTCCCCAGCCAGAGAATGTCCGCAGGCAGAAGGATGCAGGTACTTGAGGTAGGAAGCCTGGGACAGATTGGAGAACAATTCCCCAGCCACAGGGAACCTCCGGAATGGACCAAGGGCACATGGCCAGGGCAGCAAGAGTGACTGGTATAGTGGTTAATGGTGGATGATTTCAGGAGTTGTCAGTGGACTATGCTTCCTGCCATGCGGAGGAATCTGGTCTAGAGTGAAAGAGAAGGAAGAGGACTTGCAGAAAAGAGGCAGAGACAGAGATGCTGACAGCAGTTGAAGCCCTGGTTCCAACTGTTCTGGAGGCCCAGACCACAGCTTTCTCTATTTAGCCCTTTCTTGGCTTCAGTGAGTAATTAAAACCACCTTTATATCTTAACAAATTTGAGTGAGGTTCTTGTCATGTCACCAAGACAAACCTATTAAACTTATTAAGATATTAACATCAACATCCCTAGGATGAGATGCCAGTACTGTCACCCTAAATCTAAATGTGATCAAAATAGAGTAACAATCATGAAAACTTCACCTCTACCGTCTACACTTCCCTCAGCAGCAGGGTTTTACTTTACTTATTCTTAAATTGAGACAGTTTTTAAATTGCCTCAAATATGTTCCTTATTTATCCACCGCTGCATAAATCTTTGCACAACCAATACTCATCAGACAAGGTAAAACATCCTCTATCTACCTTGAGGATAATTTTGTGGAAAAAGTATTAAATGAATTTTATTCTTAGAAACGACTTTACATTTTTTGAAAGAAATGTGTTTGTTGGGTATAAATTATACATCAGCTGAAAAAATGCCTGAGTTCACCTGACACTGGGGCAGCAGGGCCTCTGCAGGCCTACGGCACCCTCTCCCCAGGGAAGCACGCACACACACACACGCTTGGACACGCACACCTGGGCACACACACATGCACACATACCTCTGCACACACACGCACGTGCCTGCACACAGGGCAGGAACAGGAAAGAGGAACACTGCATAGGACACACCCTGCACTCCTGGGTGGAAGGACTGTGTTTTTAATGTTATTCTTCCTTCATATTCAACTCCTACTGATGTGCTTCTAATCACTATCTTTTATCTCTGTAATAAATGTCTATGAAAGTTGAAACTAGGTACTGTACTGTACGTAGGAGGTGAGTGTTCAGTGGATGGTATTTAATGTGTTGTCAATCTTTCTGTAAATATAAAATAATGTGCACATTAAAAATATTTACATATTATGGGCCGACCCGTGGCTCACTTGGCAGAGCGTGGTGCTCACACCAAGTAAGGGGTTACGTTCCCCTTACCGGTCATCTTTAAAAAATAAAAAGTTTACATATCACCTAAAGGAGAATAAAAAGGTTTTGAAAGTCCCACCCAGCAAAGCTGGTCCACATTCATGTCTTGGTCACGTATCCTAGGCTGTCTCTCCCATTTGACTCCCTCTGTCCTGTGTCTGTCTGTCTCACTCTTTCAGCCAGTCATTTACGTACAGGTGTGTATGCATGTTGACAACACATAGATGTTTTTCAACCTGAGACCCTCAGTACAGACTACAAACTGACATGTTTATGTAACAATTTCTGTGCAAGCTCAGCAGCCGCTCAATGTTCCCTGGCCCATGCGGACCAGGTTTGAACACCCAGCCCCTCTACAGGATGTTAGAGACAAGGCCAGCCCCTTGCTACCTCCACCACTGCGGTGATGAAAACACTTCAACAGAAACCTGGGCAGCTGCAGTTGTGGAATAACCTCCCCGGATTATCGCTGCTTGGCAAATAGATGTGCCTGAGCACTTTGTTAGGAGTTGCTGAGCTGTTCCCGAGAAGGGGTATCTATGAACACGTCTCCCAGGACATCCGCTGGGACCTCTTCTTCCCACATTCTCACCGGAGCTGGTCATCACCGGACATACAGACCTGCCCATCTGATGGGGCAAATGCCATCTGAACAATGAGTACATTTCTGTGTGTCATCATAAGGGAGGCCACGGATGTCTGACATTTACTGGCCATATGAATTGCTTCCCTTTGGAACTGAAGGAGTATGTCCTTTGTCCCTATATGGACCAGGTTTTAACACCCAGCCCCTCTACAGGATGTTAGAGGCATGGCCAGCCCCTTGCTATGTCCACCACTGCGGTGATGAAAACACTTCAACAGAAACCTGGGCAGCTGCGGTTGTGGAATAACCTCCCCGGATTACCGCTGCTTGGCAAATAGACATGCCTGAGCAATTTGTTAGGAGTTGCTGAGCTGTTCCCAAGATGGGGTATCTACGAACACGTCTCCCAGGGCATCAACTGGGACCTCTTCTTCCCACATTCTCACCGGAGCTGCTCATCACCGGACATACAGACCTGCCCACCTGATGGGGCAAATGCCACCTGAGTAATGAGTAAATTTCTGTGCGTCATCATAAAGGAGGCTGCGGATGTCTGACATTTACTGGCCATATGAATTGCTTCCCTTTGGAACTGCAGGAATATGTCCTTTGTCCCTATAAAAACATGGATAAATGAGACTCTTTGTAACTCTAGGATGCATATTACCCTTTCTCTGACCATGAAGGATTTTCCAGTCTGTGGTTTGTCTTTTCAGCTTTTGACGTTATTCTTGTTTTTGTTTTGACCAGGAAAAGTCAGCANGTGGAATGTCTTTCCAGATCCCACAATAGAAGCAAGGATGTTGGGTCACCTGGAATCAGGAAGTCTTCAAGCAAATCTCAGTATGGTCTTCCTACCCCAACCTGTGTTACTCCAGCCAACTCGCTCAATCTCTGCCTCTCCACCTCACTTACATTCTGTTGGCTGTGGAATATTGGTTGAATAAGTGACCACAGATCAAATGTGTTCATCTAAGTTGAGACTAAGCTATTCAGCCCAGAAATACTTGGATGTATGCTATCAGGCTCTGTACAAACTACTTTGTGGGGATACTTCACAGGGAATACAAACTACTTCACAGGGAATACAATAATCCATGGCCCTAAGGAATACATATAGTCTGGTTGAGAATTAAGGTTGCAATTCTCAGGAGTTGTATCATGAAATGGGCTATGAAAGTGATAACACAGGTGCTACAGGAACATAAAGGAGGGTCATCTGGTCCAGCCTGGGGTGGGGATAAGGGTCGGAGTTTTCCTTGAGTTTCTAAATCAGGTCCTGAGATAGAGGTTGGTTAGGCACAAAAGCAGACTTCTATGGTTTGGACGTGGCTTGTCCCTGCCAACACTCATCGTGAAGTTTTAACTGCCAGTGGGTCAGTGTTTGGAGGTGGAGCCTAGTGGGAGGCATTTGAGTCACGGGGGTGGATCCCTCATGAATAGACTGATGCCTTCTCTCAGGAGTGGGTTCTCTTCACTGGATTAGTTCCCAAGAAAGCAAGTTGTTATAAGCCCGGCTTGTGTTTGGTCTCTTTGCACATACCCACTCACCTTCCTGCTTCTCCACCATGTCTTGATGCGGCACATGCCCTCACCAGAAGCCAAGAAGATGCCCACACCATCCTCTTGGAGTTCCAGTCACCAGAACCACGAGCTAAATAAACCTGTTTTCTTTATAAATTACTCAGCCTCAGATATTCTGTTACAGCAACACTAGATGGACTAAGACAGAGACCGGATGAGAGCAGCTGTGGGAAAGCTATCTCTTGCTTGCCTGTTTGGATCTCATGTGGCAGAACTATTACTACTTTTTACCATCTCCTTAAACCACCCTGAAAAGTGCTTGGCTACTACAGTGAGTGAAAAATGTAGCGGAAACGTTTTCTTCACAGCTTAGAAGCAACACTGAGTGGCCCCATCCATATGTCTCACTGTACTGTCCATACTATCATCCTCAGAGACTTTCTGGGAGGCACCTCTGTCCTCTCCCACATCCACTGCACCGTGAATCCAACCATCTGATATTCTCCCAAATAACCTTGGTAAAGCCTTCAACTACACCTAAACCTTTTGGCACCTAGTTGCCATCTTAAGCTGTACTATTTTTTTTTTTTTTAAGATGACCGGTAAGGGGATCTTAACCCTTAACTTGGTGTTGTCAGCACCACGCTCACCCAGTGAGCAAACCGGCCATCCCTATATGGGATCTAAACCCATGGCCTTGGTGTTAACAACACCACACTCTCCCAAGTGAGCCACAGCTGGCCCTCAGAGTTTCTGATTTTTTTTTTTTTAAAGATGACCAGTAAGGGGGTCTTAACCCTTGACTTGGTGTTGTCAGTACCACGCTCACCCAGTGAGCTAACCAGCCATCCTTATATGGGACCCGAACCCGTGGCCTTGGCGTTATCAGCACCACACTCTCCTGTGTGAGCCATGGGCCGGCCCTTAAGCTGTACTATTAATTGGGAGAAGGTTAGGTTACCTAGGTCCTAGGTTCTGGGTATAATGAAATTATGTTTGCCTAAAGCTTCTAAGTCTTTGTTTCTAAAAGTGTGCAATGGTTAAAGTGGATATGTGATACTACAGCCCATTGCTGCAAACATATGTCAGTTTTATTATCAAGGCTCTGTGCAGAGACTATAAAAACAAAAAGGATGCAGACCTCATCCCAACCATAGTTCCCGTCTGTCAGCATTCCATCCATTTACTGTACTCAGCTTCATCATTTCCCCCTTATCTAAGGCTTCCTGGAGATAAGTCAGAAGTACATGTGGCAAACTGAATGGTGCATATTAATTTGGTATTGGTGTAAGCCACTTTGGGTGCGAAGGGAAAATGCTCTGACTCTGGCTCAGGATCTTCCTCTGGTTCTGGCTCTGGCTCTGGCAGTGGAGGTGGAGCTGGAGCTGGAGCTGCGGATGGCAGTAGCTCTTGGGACAGTTGTTCAGCCTGGGCAGAAGCTGGAACTGGAGTGACAATAATTGAAAATGTCAACGTTAGTTTCTGTGTCTCTTCCAATGACACTGTCTTTCTGAGAAGCCCAAGTCCAGAGACCCAGCCTCAGGAAGTCTCCCCACACTGCAGAACACTGCATGATTGTTCTGAGTACTCAGTGCCCCTGTCCCCAGCCTGCTTCTGGAAACTCTGCTCTGTGTGGCCCAGCCCAGCACCCTCCCCAAACCCTCACACTTGCGACAGCTGTTCAGCCTGGGCAGAAGCTGGAGCCGGAGAGACAACAATTGAAAATATCAACATGGGTTTCTATGCCTCTTGCAATGACACTGTCTTTCTGAGAATCCGAAGTCCAGAGACCCAGCCTCAGGAAGTCTCCCCACACTGCAGAACACTGCATGATTGTTCTGAGTACTCAGTGCCCCTGTCCCCAGCCTGCTTCTGGAAACTCTGCTCTGTGTGGCCCAGCCCAGCCCCATCCCCAAACACTCAGAGGCACCCACCCTCTTCCTCCTCACCCTCAGTCTCCGCCTCACTAGGTTCCAGGTATTCCAGCTTCTCCAGCTGTGCCAGAAGAAGGTCAGCCTTGCGCTCCACCTCTGAACTCAGCCTATAGACATGTATAGAGGCTGACAGAAACTTCAAGGAATGAAATCCAGGAGGCTCGTGGAAATCACCAGAATAGAATTTCAGCCAGATCTTTAGGATGGAGGACATGGCACTGGGGGAGACAGGTGGGTAGCAGCGTCAGAGGCCTGGCCTATCCCTCTATGCTGCCCTCCCAAGGCTCCCCTGCGCGAGCTGCAGTCTTGTTCCCTCTGCCCCTGCCTGTCCACAGACCAGCCACTCCGATGTCCACCTCCAGTAGGAAGCCCTGGCAGAGACGGGCCTGGCAACCAAGGAGGGGCTGGCAAAAGCCTCCATGGGAGGAGCCTTCAACCACTGGTGTGACCACCTTTCCCTTCTTCAGGGAAACCTGACACCCTCCTCTGTCTGTGTCCCTGCCCCGTCCCTGCTGGAATGACTTGTCCATCAGGGCAGGAGGGTGCTGTCTGTTCTGGGCATTACTTGGTGGCACACGGGAGGTGTCCAGGAATATCTGATAAATGAGGAAACAGAGGGTGGCTCTGCTCCCCTGGCCTTCCTAGGGCCCTTGGAAAAGCCCAAACTTGAGCTCACACGTGGATGTACTGCCCAAGTGTCTGCATCAAAATCTGCATCTCTTCTTCCCACTGACACCGATCTCTTAGGCCTGAACATACTCTGCGCCCCCAGCACAAGCTGAGCATCCCCATGGAGGCTCCAGCCCCGAGTGTGAGTGGGATGCTCTGCACACCTCCTGCTCTGGCTCAGCACGGGCTCTGGGGGTGTGGGCAGGGCTGGGTGGAAGGGGGGTGGGGATGGATTCTCTCTGGGCTCACTCTGCTCTCCAGCTTCTCGCACACCCTGCAGTACCTGGGAGCCCATCTCCAGCTCGTCTTGACTCATTTTCCTGCAGGGAAATCCTGAGCCCTCAGCCCTGTAGCAGGAATCATAAGATGTGTGGGATCCAGAGTTCTGCCAGCCCCCTATCCACAGGCCACCACAGACCACACGCAGTTGTGTGGAGATGGGAGCCCCTCCATCTGCACCCAAACCCCACTTGCCATTTTAGCTGCTCCAAGGATTCACCATCCCCGTGACAATCATAAAGCATGCTTCCATACCTAGAGGAGGCCAGGAGGGTGTCACATCTACCATATGGTGGCACTGCCTGATTCTCATGTCTACTGTGACTGTCTCACCTCTGACTAGAATGGAAGCCCAGGAGGGCAGGGAATGTAGTCTCCTTGGTTCATTGGATTATGGTCAGTGCCCAGAAAGTGACTGCACATAGTGTGGCTTCATATATGTTTGTTGAAGGAATGAACCCCAACCAACACCTCCCAAGATATCTGGATGCACCTGAAACTGCTCTGCCAGCCCCTGGTCTCCCTGCTTTGAATACACCCAGAAGCCTGCAGATAGAATCTCAAATTTCCTGTAAAAATGTGAAAACCCACAGTGAAGCCCAAGTCAACGAGGTCAGTGAGGGGGTGACAGAGACTTCCCGATGGGGGGGCAGGAATCCTGAATGAAGACGACAGTGGCCCCTCCAGCAGACCTTCCACAGGGCTGGACTCGGGAGCAGCACTTTCCATGGGGGACCCACTGGAGCTTGTTCCTGTTAACACCCCACTGATCACAGGAGGAAACTGAGGCTCAGAGGGGTGTAGTGACAGTCCCAAGACTCACAGCTGGGAGACGGCCTAGTGACACTGTGCAATCGAGGGCCAGAGTGCTCACCTGAGGAAAAGCAGGTGCAGCACCTGCTGGGGACTGGCAAAGTTCCTGTAGCTCAAGAGCAACGTGTGGACATAGGAGTGGTTGCCACCCAGGACAGAGGGCACCAGGTGCTCCACCCACTTCTGCAGGGTGCCTGCCGAGACAGGCCACACCATGTGGGTGGCATCTGGGCTCAGGGAAGAGTTTTCTTCACTCTAGGACAGGACAGGGGAGAGATACACAGTGACAGNTCTGGAGCCAGGGCTCCCCTGGGTGCTGGTGTTTCTTCTAATTCTTTTGATGTTTCAGGAGTGGTTATGTCAGCTTGCTCTGGCTCTATCTCTGGATCTTGCTCCTGCTCTTTATCTTGCTCTTTCTCTTCCTCTTTCTCCTGTTCTTTCTCTTGCTCCGGATTGTGATCATTCTCCTGCCCTTTCTCTTGCTCTTGTTCTGGATCTTCCCCTGCTCTACCTCTTGCTCTGGCTTGGCCTCTGGATCTTGCTCTCGCTCTGCCTCTGGCAGTGGAGGAGGAGCTGGAGCTGGAGCTGGAGCTGGAGCTGAACATGACAGTAGCTCCTGGGACAGTTGTTCAGCCTGGGCAGAAGCTGGAACTGGAGAGACAACAATTGAAAATATCAACGTGGGTTTCTATGTCTTCGAATGACACTGTCTTTCTGAGAAGCCCAAGTCCAGAGACCCAGCCTCAGGAAGTCTCCCCACACTGCAGAACACTGCATGATTGTTCTGAGGACTCAGTGCCTCTGTCCCCAGCCTGCTTCTGGAAACTCTGCTCTGTGTGGCCCAGCCCAGCACCCTCCCCAAACCCTCACAGGCACCCACCCTCTTCCTCCTCATCCTCAGTCTCCGCCTCACTAGGCTCCAGGTATTCCAGCTTCTCCAGCTGTGCCAGAAGAAGGTCAGCCTTGCGCTCCACCTCTGAACTCAGCCTATAGACATGTATAGAGGCTGACAGAAACTTCAAGGAATGAAATCCAGGAGGCTCGTGGAAATCAGTGGAATAGAATTCCAGCCAGATCTTTAGGATGGAGGACATGGCACTGGGGGAGACAGGTGAGTAGCCTCGTCAGAGGCCTGGCCTATCCCTCTATGCTGCCCTACTAGGGCTCCCCTGAGTGAGCTGCAGTCTTGTACCCTCTGCCCCTGCCTGTCCATAGACCAGCCCCTCCAATGTCCACCCCCAGTCTGGCAGCCGTGGCAGAGATGGGCCTGGCGACCAAGGAGGGGCTGGCAAAAGCCTCCGTGGGAGGAGCCTTCAACCACTGGTGTGACCACCCTTCACTTCTTCAGGGAAACCTGACACCCTCCTCTGTCTGTGTCACTGCCCCATCCCTGCTGGAATGACCTGTCCACCCCAGGAGGGTGCTGTCTGCTCTGGGCAATACTGTCTGGCACACAGGAAGTATGCAGGAATATCTGATAAATGAGGAAACAGAGGGAGGCTCTGCTCCCCTGGCCTACCCAGGGCCCTTGGCAAAGCCCAAACTTGAGCTCACATGTGGATGTACTGCCCAAGTGTCTGCATGAAAATCTGCATCTCCTTTTCCCACTGACACTGATCTCTTGGCCCTGACCACACTCCGCACCCCAGCACCAGCTGAGCATCCCCATGGAGGCTCCAGCCCCGAGTGTGAGCGGGATGCTCTGCACACCTCCTGCTCTGGCTCAGCACGGGCTCTGGGGGTGTGGTCAGGGCTGGGTGGGAGGGGGTGGGGATAGATTCTCTCTGGGCTCACTCGGCTCGCCAGGCACTGGCACACCATACCGTGCCTGGGGCCCCATCCCCAGCTCATCTAGACTCCTTTTCCTGCAGGGAAACCCCTGAGCCCTCAGCCCTGTAGCAGGAATCATAAGATGTGTGGGAGCCAGAGTTTGGCCAGCCCCCCACTCACAGGCCCCCACAGACCACACACAGTTGTGTGGAGATGAGAGCCCCTCCATCTGCACCCAAGCCCCACTTACCATTTTAGCTGCTTCAGGGATTTGCCAGCCCCGTGACAGTCAGAAACCACGTTTTCGTACCTAGAGGAGGCCAGAAGGGTGTCACATCTACCATATGGTGGCACTACCTGCTTCTCATGTCTACTGTGACTGTCCCACCTCTGACTAGAATGGAAGCCCAGGAGGGCAGGGAATGTAGTCTCCTCGGTTCATTGGAATATGGTCAGTGCCCAGAAAGTGACTGCACATAGTGTGGCTTCACATATGTTTGTTGAAGGAATGAACCCCAACCAACTCCTCCCAAGATATCTGGATGCACCTGAAGCTGCTCTGCCAGCCCCTGGTCTCCCTGCTTTGAATACACCCAGAAGCCTGCAGATAGAATCTCAAATTTCCTGTAAAAATGTGAAAACAGTGAAGCCCAAGTCAACGAGGTCGGTGAGGGGGTGACAGAGACTTCTTGAAGGGGGGGCAGGAATCCTGAATGAGGACAACCGTGGCCCCTCCAGCAGACCTTCCACAGGGCTGGACTCGGGAGCAGCACTTTCCATGGGGGACCCACTGGAGCTTGTTCCTGTTAACACCTCACTGATCACAGGAGGAAACTGAGGCTCAGAGGGGTGTGGTGACAGTCCCAAGACTCACAGATGGGAGGCGGCCTTGTGACACTGTGCGATCAAGGGCCAGAGTGCTCACCTAAGGAAAAGCAGGTCCAGCACCTGCTGGGGACTGGCAAAGTTCCTGTAGCTGAACAGAAACG